GTCAATCCCATGAGCCACGTATGGTGCTCACATAGTCCCTGAACCACATTATTTTCCCTACTGCCAAGCCCTCTCTGAATGCTAAATCCCTATAATGAAGAAAGTCTAGATTTCCTCAGGTTCTGAATCTCTGGTCTCCCTGGGGCTCCTTTTCAAATTATATGATTTTGTTTGTTACTATCAAAATGATACATATTCAGAGACTAAGCGTTAGTCTAGTGTTCACATAACAATCATGATCCAGATTATCAGGGATTCAAAAGCACGATCACCGGATCCTGGTACAGGTAAGGAACACCACTATCCACAAAGAGTTTCTACCACATCTCACTGGACCAACATTTCCTTATTTGATGATCTGTGTTTGTTTTGTTTGTTGTTGTTTAACAAGGCGCTCGGCAATATTCAAGTTATATATAGGACGGTCTGAATATAGCTCACACTTGAACAGACAGACAAGTGACTGATATTTTCAAAAACGTGAAGGGACACACAAAAGCCTGTTATCATCATTTCCGAATCAGCCTTGCATTAAATACGCCAACGTCAACTTTTGGGTTGGTTTAGTTAGTTCTTAAATCCACACTCTGCAATATTCCAGCTTTATAACGGCGGTCTGGAAATATTCGAGTCTGGACCAGACAATCCAACGATTGACATCATGAGCATGACATGTGTCAGCCAAGTCAGCAAGCCTGACCACCCGATCCTGTTAGTCGCCTCTTACGACAAGCACGGGTTGCTGAAGACCAATTCTAACATGGATCCTCACGATCGTCCACTGATGCTAACTGTCCAGCAGCTAGCTATCCTCCACTGCGAGAGATTCGTCATTTTCAGCTTAGGGACACAGATACTCACGAACTGCTGCAACGAAGGCAGCTTCAAGGTCATAACAAAAATGAAGGTTTCATTTCAAAGATGCATCGACGTTCGGTATATACAAAGTCTACTTTACTATAGTGGGGACGGTATTCTAGCCTTGTTGGTAAACCGTTCACTCGTCGAACATAGGGCCTGGGTTTGATTCCTCACATGGTTAAAGCTCATTTGTGGTGATATTGCCAAAAGCGACGTAAATACAAAGTACATGTATGTTTTACTATAGCGGGGAACGGTATTCTAGCCTTGAGGGTACAGCGTTTACTCGTCGCGCCTAAGGCCTGGGTTTGACTCTCTACATAGTTAAAGCTAATGTTTGGTGATATTGCTGAAAGCGACGCAAATCCTCACTCACCTTAATACGGCTTTAATCTATGTACACATACCTGCAGTGAATAACGGATCAATCACCATTCATGTCAAAGCGACACTTGTAATGAAACGCATGTTTTGTCACTATGAAACCCGGTAATGTTTCTTGTTTCTGTATGAAGTGGTTTATATGAAGGACACACCGAGGCTGGATGTTCAACTCTGATTGATTGGTCAAGGTTTAAACGTCCACAGCCGATTTACCTGGTTGTGTTACGATAGGCGCAGTTGGCTCTGCTATGAATTAACTTTGGTAAAATATTTCCTTATCAGCCCGACTACCAACAACTTCCAACGCCTGAACATTAGATTAATATCTAGAAAACATTTTTTTTCTTCGTTTTAGTATTAAAGCAGTAGTGTCTATATCTTATTTCAGTGGCTTTATTATTCCTTAATCTTCAGATCTTTCAACTGACCCAAAACAGCTTGGACATAGCACGCACGCACAAATGCACATACCCCAGGATAATAGATGCTTAATGTGTAGCAAGATGTGGAGTCATCAAACGGATGACATCCCGATGATATCTACATTATGACTTCATTACCTTTCGGATCAGAAGGTCCGTGGTTCGAATCCAATAACGGAAAATTTGATAGCACCAACATGTATTCGCAAAAGCTACGAATTAATGCAAACGGTTTCACCAACGACTGAATACCATAACATGTGATGGTTCGGTTGCGTAATCTTTTAATGTAAATACACAAACACAGGGGCGATGGGGTAGACGAGTGGTTAAAGCGTCCACGCCGAAGACCCAGGTTCGATCCCCAAATGGGTGCATTTTCTGGTATTCTCCGCCATCATATTGCTGGAATATTGCTAAAAGCGGCGTAAAGCCAAACTCACTCACTCACTCTTTGTTGTAGCCATGTACGACTGCACCACATCGGTATCAGACAAAACACTTCTCTGTGCAGAGTTGCGTCCCTTTGGCGTGCCATAAACCAATACTCGCTGTTTCCTGATTCGCAGTGATTATGTCTCTCTATTTACTAGCACAGTGCTCAAGTGTTTCAGTAAAGTGATAAATCCCTACAACCTACACCTCTTTGGGCTTTCCTCCCTTATTAACACGCTGCGATGTCAGTGAATTACTGCCCAACGCAGCTTTAAACCGCTGACTTACTCACAAAAGTCCTATCTGCGATATTTCATAGTCCTGCAATAAATCCTGGGATAGCAAGACTCGTTCCGATGAGCAGATAATTTAATAATAAATGGTTCAGATGATAAACTACAGGTTAAAGGAAAGTATGCTCTTGAAAAGTGGATTTGACCAAAACATCACAAACATAATCAAAACGTTACAAGTCGCCGCAATACTGCAAACCTAAGGTCCAAAACACAACTATGATATCATATACGTATCAATACGTATCCATCAAGTAACCATCGAATATACCGACTGATCGAGCCAGGTATACACAACCACTGGCACGAATTGTTAGAGTGAGTGAGTGAGATTAGTTTTACGCCGCTTTTAGCAATATTCCAGCAATATCACGGCGGTGGACACCATTATTCAAATATCATGTCTAATGCATGGTGTGAGTAACTGATATATTGTATTGTTTTTCGATGACCTCTTTGAAAAAGGTGTGTTGCAATTTGATAATAAAATTATCATTTGCGAAGTGACGTATTTTGCATTAAGTGCATACTTACACAGTTCAGGCTTCCCCGAATCTTTAGGAGGATGCGACTGTGTCAGACCAGGTAGGACAGCTCTCTTTTGTTTCTGCTTAGTCTTTGTCTGTGTCTTAATACATGTATATTGTATTTACGATCTTCCGATACGATCCGTATGCTGATACTATGGGGTGATACGATACGTGTCCTGATACTATGGGTGCGATACGATACGCGTCCTGATACTATGGGGTGATACGATACGCGTCCTGATACTATGGGGTGATACGATACGTGTCCTGATACCAGGGTTGATACGATACGTGTCCTGATACTATAGGTCCATACGATACGTCTCCTAATACTATGGGCGCGTTACGATACGTGCCCTGATACTATGGGGTGATACGATACGATTCCTGATACTATGGGGTGATACGATACGTGTCCTGATACTATGGGTGCGATACGATACGTGTCCTGACACTATGGGTTGATACGATACATGACCTGATAATATGGGTGCGACACGATACGCGTCCTGATACTATGGGGTGATACGATACGCGTCCTGATACTATGGGGTGATACCATACGCGTCCTGACACTATGGGTTGATACGATACATGACCTGATACTATGGGTGCGATACGATACGCGTCCTGATACTATGGGGTGATACGATACGTGTCCTGATACTATGGGTGCGATACGATACGCGTCCTGATACTATGGGGTGATACGATACGTGTCCTGATACTATGGGTGCGATACGATACGTGTCCTGATACTATGGGGTGATACGATACGTGTCCTGATACTATGGGTGATACCATACGTGTTCTGACACTAGGGGTTGATACGATACGTGTCCTGATACTATGGGTGATACGATACATGTCCTGACACTATGGGTTGATACGATACGTGTCCTGATACTATGAGTGCGATACGATACGTGTCTTGATACTATGGGTGCGATAGAATACGTATGCTGATACTATGGATGCGAAACGACCCGCATCCTTATAAGATGTCCTGATACAGTACTTCCATGGCACAAGTTCATATTCTCTCCATTTTTGAAGGTGAACCACAACCCTATATCGTTTCTATTTAAATTTTCAGACAGCCAAAATGGGGTGTTGTATTGGAGGTACAAAAGCTTGGGTGCACTGCTCAGATTCTACTATTATGCAGAATAAGAAAATACTAGAGAATCTGCACAAAATGCTTCTTGGACAGCTTCTGTTATTATTCGCATGTTTTTACATAAATGTAGCTTTATGAAAGTTATGAATTGTATGCGTTTCCTTAGAGTCCGTGTATTGTATAGTGAGCCTTGTATCGCGATGCAGCAATATTTTACCATATCATTACACCACTCGTGCGCAAAAGGCTGCTTAACGTATACAAAAACATGCCTTGATCATTGCATTTGGTTGACATGTCTTACCGATTGTCTATTAGTAGGGCTGCGCAATATAACTGGTTTACCAGTATTTACCGGTTCAGACATGAAAACGATACGTATTGCGATACACTGATCGAAAACAGGTATTCTGACTTGCATTCGGAAAACTTCGTAACACTCGGAAATCTTCGGATATTTCCTTGTATCATTTGTGCCAAATATTATTCACATTTCTATTTCATCATGATTACAAGTTGCTACTAAAGCTTAATCAAGCGTAGTGATATTGCTGTGTTTTTGCTCTATAAATCAAGCATTAACTCGATTATAAGTAGTTTTTTGTTTGAAAATACTTCATGCAATATATTGCAAAACATATCGCAATACATGCTTTCGCATCGCAATATATTGCAATATGAAAATTCTCTGCAATACCCACCCCTATCTTTTAGCAGTACGTTTTTAAGGAAGGCTTTAAAACATCACATGTACTAAGTTTAACAATTCATTGGGGTATGGGTGTTATTTGGATAGAGGATTATAGTAAGAACCTGAGCTTTGAGGATTGAGATTCAAACCTAACAACATCAATCTGAGCCAAGGCGATGTAACACTGCACAGGTAATGGATTCGTCAAAAATAACATGCAAGCATAGGGTTCATATCTAAACTGAAACAAAACCTGATACATACCTTTCATACAGCCGATTAATCGATGTTTTCTTCCAAATATCCCCGAATGCCAAAATAAACAAGGTTTTCACACTATATTTGTACAACAGAAAATCCCATTATATTAGACAACAACTTTGTCGTGTGTCGAAGCAGACGAGACAATCCGCTCTGCACTTCCGGTCGACGTGGCGTAATATCATTGGTTAAAATTTTCATCAGGCAAATTAATATTTGATATTGATTCACAAATCCGGTTTTGGTTTAACTGAATATGATAATCTTAAAAAATCTGTTTTCAATTTTGGAACACTGGACGCTACAATAAGAAAACACCCTAATACGTGCCAAAATGTGATGGTTATTTTCATAACAGCCTGACAATGATTTGAAGCAGTCACCCGACCGACCAAAGACAAAACAAATTAGCAGCAACACATGCGTGCGATCAAGTATGTAAACATGCCATTCTGTAACCATCAACACCAAAACCATTGGCACATTATTGAAACATAGTCGCATGTCAGGGTTACAGCACGGGAAAAATCATCCACTTAGATTCATAGTGTGATAAAAATTCGGAATCTGTGTTAAACCGACATATGTTTTGAATTTGGAATTATGTTTGGGTCGTTCAGCTGATACTGCAAAACATGTAATACATTTCCGTTAACTGTTCGACACATCCGCTACCTGTTATTCATCAGGGCAGTGTACATTCTGTCTAATGAATTAAAAACCTGTTGAATATTTACTTCCGCTATGTTTGACATCACAATCAGTTGTTTTTCTAACCTATCCAGTGGAAGCTGCCACTCAAGTCCGGCCACGGCAACCCTAGGATGTATGTTTCAGAGTTGGCGAAGTTCTTTGCGCTCCAGGGAATTGCAAGTCAAAGAATTTGAGTTTTCAGCCATAAAACTAACCTAAACACTAAAGTGAATAAAGCTCACATCTTTAGAGAGTGGCCGTTTTACCAAAGAATTGATACCAGTCCATCTTGTCAGCCAACACATCAAGCTTCTGTTTTCTGGATGGGTTGTGACCTGGGTTAGAATATATTCTTGATGGCGAATTTCAACAGCAGGATGGACATATTTTTCGAGACACTCGTCGCACACGAAATTAAAATCTATCAGAAAAACAACATTACAATCTGTATTGAAAGATATACTTTGTTTCTCAACGCCCGACTCTTCCATCAAGTCAGAGAGGGCCACCTGATCTAATTATGTCGTCTCATACGATAAAGGGCAGTGGGGTAGCCCAGTGGTTAAAACATCCACTCATCAGGCTGAAGACCCGGGCTCGATTCCTTATATGGGTACAATATAATAAGCCCATTTCTGGTGTCCCCGCCATCATATACTAGTACCTGGAATATTGCTAAAAGTGGCGTGAAACCAATTTCACTCACTCATACGACAAGCGTGCGTACCTGAAGACCAATACAGTTTTGATCTTAACAAAAAGTAAGCCTCACCGAAAACTGACATCAAACAGACGCCCTGCTCAGATACAGGTCTCTAACATAGAACGGCGAAAAGTCAAATCCCGGTGTGAACAAATTGAATTACTCACAGGAGTCCTTAAACGAAAGGATGCAACTTCCGTCGACTTCAGTACGTACTCAGTACATACCCCTAATCCCAGCACGTATCCTCCTTAATGACCAAACACATTAAACATAATGCACACTTTGCCTGTATTTCAAATCAGCGGCTTAAAGCTTCAAAACTTCCAATACTAATGTCATTACGTTTGTGAATCACTTTTATCTGTGTTTCGTCCAGTAAACCTCGAATACGATTCGCTCAGCGTAACTCATTCATAGATCAAAAAGCAAAACTTCCGCTTCCGAAATGTGATTAAGATATGATCACATCAACTAATGCCAATATCTTTTTGTAACCATCTGTCACCATTGAATGCCTCATCTGAATAGAGAACTATATTGGCTAGTAATCTGTTTTAATTGCGTGTAATTACTTCAGAGTAGATCTGGTACTAAAAATTTTAAAAATGAAAAAAACCCAACCCAACAAATTGTAAAATATCCTGAAGTTTTGCAGGGGTGACATCGGTGAGTGAGTGAATGAATATTCTTTTACTACCCTAAAACTACTCGGTTGAAGAGACAAGACTGAAACTATGCCGACGTGAGTTTATATTTTATTCGTAAGAGTGAATACATCCACTCAAAACCAGGACCTAGATTTTCGAAGCTCTCCTAGTGCTAAGATGGTCGTAGTGCCATATATTAACGACTTACGACTATCTTAGCTCTAAGAGAGCTTCAAAAATCTAGGCAGTGGTTGATAAATCTGCATCAGCCAATATTTGCTTTCACGGGAGATATCGCTTCAGGTACATTGCATCACAATGCCTCGCAGACCATTGTGACGTAATGCGTTACCATGGCGTCACAATCAAAGGACATCACAAATCTCTGCCAATGAAGCTGTTAGCGGAACTTCAAGACAAGACAATCAAGACCCTCATCATTGGTGTTTATAAACTGAAATAGTTGAATGAACTATTGTTGATGATGATTCAATCTATGGTTTTCGATAATAGATATATGGATATGCTTTGACAAAAAGTTAGATCAGCACCTGGTGATTTGAAAATAAGATACACTTTGTATATTCTCTGTATATCAGACAGGTATCAGAACTATCTAAATTCCAAACATCTTAGGTATCTCGACTGAATCTAAGGGGGAGTGAGTAAGTTGAGCTATGGACAGTATTCCAGTTATGTCACGGCACGTCTGCTTGATATGGGAGGGAGGCCCGAAATGATGCATTCCTTATACACTTTGGTGAGGTGAGGTGAAATTTGGTTTAACGTGGCGCTTGAGAATATTTCGCTCATATGACGACGTGCATGTGTGTATGTGTATGTGCGGCTGCTTGTACTAGCCCAGACTGAAGCTGGTTTTATAGTGCTAGCCCACTGAGATACCACGCCGCAGTGAAGCATGAATACCCCACTCAGACAAATTATACTGACTCCGAGCCGACCAGTCCTTGTTGTACCCATTAATGCCGAGCGCCAGGCAGGGACCAACAAGTACCTTATTTTAACGTCTTTTGGTATGACGCGGTCGGGGATCGAACCCGCGATCTTCCGCTCTGCGAGGCGGACGCTCTAACCACTACACCACGGAGGCGGTCTCACTTTGGTAAAAACCACGAACGCGGATGTGGTGCTAACAAACCTAGAATCATCTGGGACGAGGTGACATAAATGACAAAAGAAACTGTCCGATGCAATTCCTTATTTTATATACTTGCCCTTGTGTTTTTAGCTGAACAATTGACCTGCCTGTGCAGTAGTTTGTGACGGATGCCACCTGAGTGGCTGGCAGGATACGCTCACCCTGTCGCAAACACCTGGTATCGCAGGTATAACAACACACACGCTTTGATGTTGTCGGAACCGTACAGCAGACTCTTTATTTAGCAAAGGGGCGGTGGGGTAGCCTTGTGGTTAAAGCGTTCGCTCGTCACGCTGAAGATCTGGGTTCGATTCCCCACATGGGTACAATGTGTTCAGCCTATCTCTGGTGTCTCCCGCCGTGATATTGCTGGAATATTGCTAAAAGCGGTGTAAAACTAAACACACTCACTCATTTAGCAAAGTATTACTATGATGACGAATAGGTTTAAGCGCATATATCTTAATACGTTCGGTACACGAAGCTTTAGTTGAGTCATATGGGTACCTTAATTAGGGTTTATTGCTTTATGTAAATTCATTTGGCATACGAAAGGTTCGATGAGGAACATGTACTTTGATTATGCTTATGGCTTTTGTGTTCATACATTTGGTATACGAAAGGCATATGTACTTCGGATGATCATGAATATTTACGTAATGAGTGTTCTGTCCTTGAACGTGATGAGAACGTACAGTTTAATTGTTCATTGTATTGGATTTCTTTTATCAACATGTTATATTTTGAACTACACTTTCTTAGCACAGTACAGATTCTGCTACTGTTTTAGGTTGAGTTCCATACAAGATTCGAACCCACACTCTCAGCGTGAACCATCAAATCTCCAGCCCAAGGCAACGATCTAACCCACTCAGCCATCGAGTCTGAAAGCATGAATCCTTATAAAAGATTATATTTTGTATTCATAACTGGCAGTCGCTGCGAAACATTTATCGCAATAAGCCCGTGTCACGAATATTTAATGCCAAGCAAATCCCAAACAACAAATTCCACAAAAGACATAAATCTCCTTCTCGATAGTAAACGAGTATTGTTACAAACATCTCATCCCATTATTCAGAATACTGGATTAACATTGTAAATAGATGGGGAAACCGAAATCCAGCTATCACTTACAAGAAACGAAGGGGGATCCATTAACCCTAAACAAATCTGTTATTTCTTGAAACAGAGACGTGACAAGAGCGCCTCCTTGGCTCAGACCCTCTTCGGGTGATCTCCTTAAGCTGCGGTCTCATTTTTCATGTTATTTTTTTAAATCCGGACTAAATAAGAGGTGAAGGAAATGGGGAAAATATGTAAATAACTCCACCTTGGAATTTGTGTAAGCGTATGATTTCAACAGATACTGACGAAGCTGGACAGTATTGCGTTCTATTTCAGTAAGTATGAAGGTGGATAGGTGTATACTAGGATCGGTTTTAAGAGCATTAAATAACTCGAAAGTAGGTACACAAATCACAAGAAGTTAAGGACCAAGGGATAATGTCTTTACATCACTGCAGTTTTCTGTTTTTGCATGACAGACTAAGTATAGTGAGATAGAGCTGTCCTTAACTGCTTTAGAGTAATGATAAGTGCATTGTGTTGAGGCAGTTGTGCAACAGAGTTTCAATTGTTATACATTGTACACGTGGATTCAGTAAAGGCAGTGGTGTGCTATATGTAGACATGCGCTACATTTAGTAGGACTGATTGGTATTACCGTTATATCGCAATACGCTTTTCAATCGATACTTATTGCAATATTTTTTCTGAGAACCGGTATATTGGGTAAAGAACATATATGAAGTTTTTGTGATTATCTGTATGGTTTAAATTAAAATCTATACATTCTTTCATTTACAACATACTAGTTTTACATGTATATATGTGATACTCTAGTTGCTTTACTGTCCTT